GTATTTTGAGCCGGATATTTAATGGGTAGAAGATTTTAAACCAGTGATCTCCATAACTTCCATTATAGACGATATCTATGATGTGTATGGTACAATTGATGAACTTGAGCTGTTGACCTCAGCAGTTGAGAGGTAATTTGTTTAATATCTTGATGACCTTCAATCATCTCAAATCCAAAATTTATCATTATCATTTTTTGGCTATAATAAGCTAGCCTTTCTCCTCGTTTCAGGTGGAACTCATTGCCTGTTGACAGAAAGATGTTCAAGCTTCAAACTCCAACATATGAACTGCATGCTGCACAACTTCTGGTTCACGTGCATCAGTTAAAATTAATAACAAACTTGCTTTGGTTAAGCAAGTTGCTTAGAGAGTCTGTTAAAGCAAGTTGCAGTCTGTTAAGCAATTGCAGACAATTGCATGCAGTTAATGCAATTTGATAATCAACTTGCCAAGGCAGAAGAAGTGTGTTTTTACTTTGTGATCGAAGGGTGTATAATGAAGCTCTTGGATTTTGGTTAATGGTGTAGATTTAAAGTGGACTAGAGTTTGTTACATACCTCGCGTGTATATAAGACACAAGTGTACCTTAGTTTTATTAAATTGAAAAAGATGGAATAAATAAACTTTTTCTTCTTTCCAGAATTCTTACTTTGCTCTTTTTGTTCGTTTCTTTTTGCTCTGTTTTGTTTTTTCCTCTGTTCATGGTATCAGAGCTATTGACATACGTCAACGGCAGATCCTAAGACACCCCCCACATCAGTTCTCAACGCAGAAGGAAAAGCCATGAATTCAACTTCAGTCTCAACTCTGAATAGTGCGCTACCTACCATTACCATGAAGCTTGGAGAACGAAACTATGCCTACTAGAAATCTCAAGTCCTTCTTGCACTAAAAGCTTACGAGCTAGAAGGTTTTGTTACAGGTGACAAACCTTGTCCTCCTCTTTTTACTATTTCTAAAACTGATGAATCAAAACAAATGGTCAATCAAGAACAGGTAGCATGGAAAAGAATTGATCAGTTGTTATTTAACTGGTTGATATCCACCATTTCAGAAACTATGTTCAGGCACGTTGCTAACTGTGGTACAACATTTGATATATGGCACACACTAGAGATGCATTTTCTAACAGACTCTAAGGTTAGGATCTTACATCTAAGAAATCAACTACAAACGACTAGGAAAGACAACTCTAGCATAAATGATTATGTGCTCAGGATGAAGGAAATTGCAGACTCTTTGACCACCAGTGGTGTGGTTGTAGCAGATGAAGAATTACTCTTATACATTCTTGATGGACTTGGAATCGAGTATGATGCAATGGTGGCTACTTTAACTGTTAGGAGTAGTGAAGTATCATTACAGGAAGCACAATTCCTGTTATATAAACACAAAATGAGACTGAAGAAACAACATTCTACCTATATTGGTTTTCATGAAGCTGCTGCTTTCTTGGCAAACAAACAGCCCTCCAACTCTCAACTGACCACACCAATGCTAAACACCTTAGGACCACAAACAAATCAACCTATACATCATCTCTCTCACTCCCAAAATCAACATGAACCGAAACACTCCTATCTACCTACTCAAAATTTCGAACCCTATAATCAAAGTTTCGACAGAGTAGAGGAAGAGGTCAAAACTTTTATAAGCCTAGACTCTTTTGTCAATTATGTGGAAAGAATGGACACATGGCCTTGCAATGCTACCATCGGTTTGATACTTCCTTTCAAGGAAACCAAAGCCATAGACCACATTTTTGGGACAGAATACAATGCCTCGCAGCAACATACTCAATCCACAACTCCTGCACAAGTATTCTTTGCAACAACTCAGCCTACTCACTCAAGTTACTATCCAAGATAGCTTTACCAAATTTCCTCACCAGTGACACATCATCCACAATCCTTTTAGAACAACACTCCAGCAAACTCCTCTGAACAAAATCTGTCATAGCAACATTATGAATATTCAGGAGAAAATGAATTGAACAAGCAAACTACAAGGATTCAGCCAAATCAGATAGCAACTCCTCTAACAGTTTCAAGTCCCAACTGGTTTATTGACTCAGGTGCAACTCATCATATAACTCCTGATCTTCAAAATCTCTCAGTCAAAAATCAATATACTGGAACCAAATCTCTCCAAGTTGGGAATGGACAGTGTCTTGACATCTCACATACAGGTTTGACTATTTTACCCTCCTCTTGTATGAACAAATCCATTCAACTTAAAAACATATTATGTGTTCCACAAGTGACTAAGAATTTGCTGAGTATTTCAAAAATTACAAGAGATAATAATGTGTTAGTTGAGTTCTCTGCTGATGATTGTGTTATAAACGACAAGACTTCTCAGGTTGTTCTTCTTAAAGGAACTTTACATAATGGCTTGTATCAACTTGACATCCCAAGTGGAAATGAAGCCTGCCGACAACAGAATTCTATCCCATTACAACATCCTCTTCTGCAACAATCGCAAGCTACAAGTTTCTTTTCTGGATTTTCTTGTTCACAAAATTCTGCAGGATAGCAAGGTTCTCGTGATACATTTACCAAAGAAGGAAATAACAGACAAGCTCCAACATCAATTAGTGAAGGAGACTTGTGGCACAGGAGATTAGGCCATGCTCATATTTCAGTCCTTAACTCCCTTGTATCAACGTTGCATGTAAAGGACAACATTAATAAAATTCAATTTTGTGAAGCATGTCAATATGGCAAACTCCATCAAAATTCTTTTCCTTCATCACATTCTCGGGCAAGTAAACCCTTTGAGTTGATATATGTAGATATTTGGGGACCTACCCCTGTAATTTCAGCTATTGTATTTAGATATTACCTATTACTTGTTGATGATCATACCAAGTACTCCTGGATTTACCCCCTCAAACTAAAATCAGAAGTAACTTCAATTGTTAAACAATTCACACAGCTAGTAGCTCAACAATTTGATGCCAAAATCAAGACTTTTCAGTCAGATAGGGGAGGAGAGTTCAGACCACTTGCGGTTTTCTTTGCTCAGCAGGGGATCCATTTTCGGCACCCCTGTCCTCATACGCATCAACAGAATGGGAGGATTGAACGCAAACACCATCATGTTACTGAAATGGGACTCACATTACTAGCACAAGCTTCCATGCCACTACATTTTTGGTGGTTTGCCTTTCATACTGTTGTATACCTGATTAACAGAATACCATCTTTAGTTGTGGGAAATCAAACTCCCTTTTATCTTCTGTTTCACAAAACACCAGACTACAAGGCTATCCGTATCTTCGGGTGTCAATGCTTTCCTTTTATTAGACCCTATCAAAAACAAGAATTTGCCTTTCATTCTGAGGAATGTGTTCTCCTTGGGTATAGCTCTATTCATAAGGGTTATCTATGTCTCAACACTCTTGGACGAGTCTACACTGTACAAAGTATCAAATTCAATGAACAGATTTTTCCTTTTGCAAAAGGTTTCTCTGTTTCTCATACTTCAGCAACTGAGACACCCCTGTCATTTCCATCTAATCCTTGGAAGCTTCCTGCTACCATTCCTAATCAGCATGTCCTTTCTACAGCAACTTCTCCAACATAAAATTCGTCCACACAAAATCAGTCCTCGGCTCCACCATTAACCCTTGAAGTTGATCTCAGCTCGTATACCACTCAAGCCCCTTCTTCCCAAGTTTAACCTACCACCACCACTATCCAGAACACACACCCTATGATTACCCAAAGAAAAGCAGCAACCCTTGTTAGCACTCTCACTCCTGAATCTCATAAAGAACCAACCAGTACAGTATCCACCTTAACCAATCCTTTATGGGTGCAGGCTATGATTGTCGAATATGAAGCTCTCCAAAAAAAAAAAAAAACACTTGGTCTTTGGTTCCATATACAAATGATATGACTCTTGTTGGCAATAAATGGGGTTTTAAGGTAAAACTTAATTCAGATGGAAGTGTTCAACGTTACAAGGCAAGACTTGTTGCCAAAGGATTTCATCAAATTCCCGAAGTAGATTATTTTGAAACTTTTTCTCCAGTCATCAAAGCATCGACCATCCGAGTCATTCTTCACTTGCGGTAAGTCATGGTTGGGAGATCCAACAAGTTGACGTTAATAACGCCTTTCTCAATGGTGATCTAATTGAATCAGTTTACATGCCTCAACTAGAAGGATTTGTTGATCCAACCAAGCCTCAATATGTTTGTAAATTACACAAGGCGTTATATGGGTTAAAACAGGCCTTACGTGCATGGTATGACAAGCTAAAGACTCCATTATTGCAATAGAACTTCCAAAATTCAACCTCTGATTCCAGTCTATTCTATTATCGTAATAGCAACAAAGTTATGTATATCCTTGTTTACGTTGATGACATCTTACTTACAAAAAATGACACTTCAATCATTCAGCAAGTAATCACCAATTTGGATAGCATGTTTGGTCTCAAAATACTTGGCTCCATTAACTATTTCCTCTTCATCTCTGTTGTTCATACCAGTTCTGGATTATTACTTAATCAGAGCAAATATGCACAGGATATTCTTCTCAAGTATGGCATGACTGAGTGCAATCCTTGCTCTACTCCAATGGTTTTTGGCTCCAAACTCTGTCTTGAGGATAGCCCTCCGTTTAAACAACCCTCTGTTTACAAGAGTCTTATTAGAGCTCTGCAGTACCTCACCATGACCAAACTTGATCTCTCCTTCATGGTAAACAAACTCAGTCAATTTCTAAAGGCTCCAACTATTAATCACTGGCAGGCGTGCAAGCATGTCCTTCGATATATTAAAGGAACTTTACACCATGGTCTAACATTTTATAAAGGCTCCAGTCTACAGCTTGAAGGATATGCTGATGCTGACTGGGCAAGTAATCAATCTGACCAAAAATCAACCAGTGGATATTACATCTTCCTTGGCTCCAATATGATTCAGTGGTGCTCCAAAAAATAGCATGTTGTTGCCTTATCCTCCACTGAAGCAGAATATCGTGCCTTAGCCCATGCTGCTACTGAGATTGCTTGGATTCAAAATCTGTTTTAGGAACTTCATATCTCTATTCCTGGCCTCCCCATTCTCTGGTGTGATAATACAAGTGTTGGAGCTCTTGCTTCCAACCCCGTCTTCCATGCGTGTACCAAACATATCGAAATTGATGTGCACTTTGTACGGGAAATGGTTCAAGCTAAACGTCTCGTAGTCTAGTATGTTGATTCCACCTTCCAAGTTGCCGATATTCTTATCAAACCTCTCTCCAGCTCTCGGTTTTGCACTCTCCAAGATCAGCTTCATCTTTCTGTCTCTCCCGAATTTGAGCTTGAGGGATGAACTGACCATCCTAAACAAGCTGCAAATTCAAAGACATTTTAGTGTTAACTCGGCAGTGAGAGCAAAATATGTTTGAAAGATGATGAAGGTGACGATGAATGAAGGTTGTTAACTCAACTGTGAGAGCAAAATTTAAAGACGATGAAGGTTGAGTAAATAAAGTCAAACTGGGTTCATTGTTATGGTTGAAAGATGATGAAGGTGATGACGAAATTTTTTTTGTTGTTGAGTTTTTTGCTTGAGGGACGATGTTGACAGAAGAAGATGTTCAAGCTTCAAACTCAGCAAAATATGAACTGCATGCATGCAACATCTTGCTGGACCACGTGCATCAGTTAAAGTCAATAACCAACTTGCTTTGGTTAATGCAAGTTGCTGAGCAACTTGCAGTCTGTTAAAGCAATTTGCAGTCCGTTAAAGCAAGTTACAGAGCAAGTTGCATGCAGTTAATGCAAGTTGATAATCAACTTGCTTACGGCAGAAGAAGTGTGTTTATCTGTTGTGATCGAATGGTGTATAATGAAGCTCTTGGATTTTGGTTGATGGTGTAGATTTAAAGTTGACTAGAGTTTGTTACATACCCTCGCGTGTATATAAGACACAAGTGTACCTTAGTTTTATTCGACTAAAAAAAAAAAAAAAAAAAAAAAAAAAGAATGGAATAAGATAAATTTTTTGCTTCCAGAATCTTTATTTTTGCTCTGTTTTTTTTTTTTTTTTGGTTTCGTTTTCTTTTGCTCTGTTTTTTGTTTTTACCTTTGTTCATTCTTAATTCACTGAAAGTCAAAATGCAAAAGAGTATCTAGAAAACCGTTATGAAAAATTCAACTAGTTATAGTCATTAAATCAGAATATGTGAAAATATGGCTTTATAAAAGAGTTTTCTTCAATGAAATGGTAAGTTAAAGCATCTTAAGAGGTGCATAAGAAATTTAATCTTTCTAAGGGGGGTGTCCTCCATAAGTACAGGGAAAAGCCACAATTGTACCTTTACCATCTTGAAATTATATAACTTAAAATATCTGATCGTAAATGCACATGATAAATCAAGAAATGAACATAGATCAACAAGATTACCATCTCACTAATTCGTTTGAGTTGATCTTCATATGATCTTTCTATTTCCGCCTTCAGCTTTGTAATTTCTGGTTTTGAATATCCCTTTAGAGAATCAACCTCCACTTGTTGTTCATGATGTTTCATAGCCTCCTTCTGTATATCAAATAAAGACATTTCATGACATATTTAATGTGAACTGCATGAGTAAAAAAAAAAACAAAAATTGTGAACAAACTCACCTTCACTTCAGCAAATATTTCATCTGTGTATGGTTGTCCACCATTCTGCGCTATGACCCTGTTAACAAGGGACAGAAGCTCTCCAACTTGTTTAGCTCTTTTGGTTTCATCCTTAGTCTTGTTATCAAAAATCACTCGCCGATTTTCACACAAAGCAAGAATATCCTGAGACAATGTTAATATAAATTTGAAAAATAGCTTATATTAACCTTTTTACAGGATTAATGAACATTTTAAGAATCGTAAAGCTTGAAGATGTTCAGCCTAGCTTATATATGCTAACCAAATAAAGTAGTTTGAAAACAATATTTTTCTCAAGTTAACAACACGGCTAATAAATCAAACTTAAGTTAAAAAAGAAACCTTTAAAGGATCTGGACATTCGCGACCCAAATACTCTTCCAATGTTTCCTCATTTTCTTCAAGTTCGTCCGCACCGGTGAAGACTACAATCATGTAGTTTATAATTTTTCTTCCAAACAAAGACTGCAAGGTAAGTACTGCAGCTTGTTCTTCTTGTGTAAAACGGTTTCTCACTGACAAAACTAAAAGGACTGCATGGTTACCATCCTTGGCCAATTTAATACATTTGACAATCTCTTTCCCAACAAATTCAGATTCAGCTGAAAAATCAAAGAGTCCTGCAATGACTCACCGCATTAGTTTGTTTTGATAAATAAATTTCAAATACAAGATAAAAGTTGTAAACTGTACGATGAAATCCAAGTTACCGTACCAGGAGTATCAATAACATTAATGATCTGGCCACCTTTGAGTTCAGTTCTCTGCAATTCAGTAGTTTTAGTAACACCAGATGAACTAGTCTTGGACATAAAAGCCCTTTTTCCAAGAATGCTATTCCCGGTGGAACTTTTTCCATTGCCAGTACGCCCAACTAAAACCACAGTCCGTTGTCCGCTGGCCACAGCCCGTTCTCCACTGGATAGGAAAGGGAGCTTCCTATCATCATTTATCACAACATCCATTGCACTTCACCTGCAATCCAAAAAACAATAAAAACACTTTCGTCAATCATTGCAACCCATGATTTTTTTAATAATAATAAAAAAAAAAAATTGGTCTGCCTGTGAGATTACTTACTTGAGAGTCTGAGGCGAGGGAGAGAGACAGAGAGAAGATATAG